AAAAACAATTAGGCTGCAAGTTCAAAAGAAATGTTGGTGGCACAGACTGAGCTTCCAAAACACACATTAATAGTATTCAGACATCTAGTAAAAAAGGCAAGATATCCAAAAAGAGGATATCAAATGTTAAAATTTCTGTAAATGGTATTTATGTCCAGCAATTATTGGGCGTTAGGTGGGATACACCCTGAATAGGTCTAATTAACTCACATTTTTACAAAATTATCCTAAATTAACTGTCATGCGTCATCAGAACCTGCTGCATCTGTTACTCAGCGGTGATTTTGTAATCAAACGGTGCAGCAAGCAGAAGTAACAGACTACTTTTCTAGCAGAAAATTAAACAGAGCAGGTATTTACCAAACAACCAAACACTAAACAGGTTCCAGATGGTGCACAATATCGCCAACAAAATTGATTCATGGAGTGGACATCTGCAAACCTCTCTGGCTATTTTATGAAAATTATCAAGAAATGGAGAGATTGCAATCTAATATGTGCATGATTGGAGCAACATTCATTCTGTAATAGCTTGCTCAGAATAGTTTTCGATCATTTTATACTGGAAATGGTGTGCAAATGTGAAGCTAGGCTGTGTGTTAAACATTTAAATAGCCATGATGAGCATAAATTTGCCACATTATAAAAAAATGAAAGGAGAAATAAATTGATTTTGAGTCAAAAGGCAACATTTTTGTCTAATTTTTAGCCCAATTGAGGTCACTCTATGTTAATTAGTGAATTTTTGTTGTAATCGTGTGCTTGTTCCTTATGAATGGTGAGAATATCATCTCACAGAAACAGCAAATTAGCTATAATAACTGATTAAAGTGAGAACTTGTAAACTCTATTGGAAATAATGGAGAAGTTACGATGCAGTTGAATCTGTTTTAGCTTTTAAACACCAGAAAGTGTATCAATACTGCCCCCAAATGGAAGGGCTGAAAACATTTCAAGAGTTTTTTTTTTTTTTTTTTTTTTAATCAATAGTTCTAGTAATAAGCTGAAGTATAAATTTGAAACAAAACGCATAGAAAATAGTTGTTTAAGAATTACATTTATCAACTTTCTGTTGAATTCAGCTTACAAACAAAGAAGAAAGACAAATACATTTTGATCAAACTTTATACATTAACAGAAGGCGATATAAACATGAAGAGAAACAGTACAAATTGCCTTAATGTGCAAGTTACCAGAGAAGGTGAAAGCATTGCTTTGCAGAAAATGATAACACAACAAAGCCAATTTACTTTGACCAAACATGCTGTGTCAAATGCTGCTAGTGCATTTTAAGTTGCTCTTTTAAGAACTCTGTTAATGTCAGGACTCATCTGTCTCATCTGTTGCCTCATACAGTCATTTCCAACCCAACGATGTAAGTTTGAGTACATCACCACTCATAAAAGCCACTTTCTGATATCTGCTGGTTCCCAAACAGTTGCAGGCAAGCCAAATAGGTCAAAGACGTCAGGCTAAAATTCCCCCTGGAGTAGTTCATCTGGTACTCCTTCTCAGGCTTTCCAGGGTCTGCAGGAAGGAGCGCTGGGCCTGGTCCTCCTCCAGGGTGGAGCAGTCCTCCTCTTCCTCCTCAATGATGCCGCACTCAACACAGCGGAGGCGGGGTTCGCGCCGTCCAGCCCTGCAGACGCAAGCTGTGGCCAGAGACTGAGGGAACTCCTCCATCGCTAAAGGCAGCAGATGGGCAGGAACAGTGTCCATGCTGGTCGCCATGGAGAAAAGAGGCCCAAATGTAGGGACGACGAGCTGCGTAGAGTAAAGCTCTAGAGGAGACGCAGCAGAGGATGAAAGATTTAAAAATTCAGATGTATCTGATGGGCTGTCCTGAGTGTTCTGGGACAAATGATGCAAAAAATGACAAAAACGTTGTAACAGTGGGATTTAATCAATGAGAGACGTTGAAAAAAAAATCCCTCAGGGTTCTGCTTGATAAGATGTTTTGAGAGATCCTGTTGAGCTCCTTTTCCAATTAGTTTTTTTTTTTTTTTCCTTAAAAAACAGGGAAAAATGTGAACAAGTCTGAGTGAGCCGTTGTGTCTGAGCACCACTGAGCTCTTCTTTTATACATTTCAGCAACCCACTCACTTCTTCCTTTGGGCATCCCTCCACGCACAGAGCGCCTCTCCCTCCTACATCCTCATTGATGACACATTTCCGCAGCTTCCATACCAGTGCACCGGAATAACCTCCCAGAAACTGTTGGCATGGGAACCGGATAGAGATGTTTAGGAGGGAGTAGGCAGAACAGGGAAAAAGCAACACAATGATGCAGAAAATTATGAATAAATGTACAATCACTTAAGAAAGTTATGTGAGCTGACTGACAGGCTATAAATGGTGTTCAGTAAGTGTATAGTAAGATCTTTGCTAAACAAAGTTCACAGAAACTGGTTGTAATAAATGTCAAAAACATTCACTCTGTTCAAAAATCACAAACTAAAGATTGAATCCCATATTTTGATGCTTAGTTTGACTTTGGTTTTTGAGTATGATAAAAGTTGAAAGAGTTAACCAAACCCAACGTACACAAGTGAAAACAGATGCTGTATGTGTCCTAATGAAAAATGTGGATTCTAAAATCTCAAAGTTTTATCCATCCTTTGTTTAAGTAGACAACACGTGAGACAATAGCTAAATGGTTGTATTAATTTTGGGTTCTTAATGATTTGGCTGAACCACTATTCTCCTGGAGTGGACCAATTGTACAAGAACTTTGTTGTATGTTGTCCGTCCCTTCCTTCCTTCCTTCCTTCCTTCCTTCCTTCCTTCCATGTAGCTGAACAGCTGGTTGGAGCTCCTTTTTCATTACTGTATCAATAGTGTGGTACATTGGTTATTAGCCTGTAGCAATGCAGAATCTTAAGGGAACCCAGAATACTTTAATACCAACCCTCATCTACCTCTTAAAAATACTCTACAGCACAGGTCCTCAAATCCAGGCCTCGAGGGCTGGTGTCCTGCAACTTTTAAATATATCTCTGCTTCAACAAACCTGAGCCAAATAATGAGGTCATTAGAAGGAATCTGGCGAACTCGACTGCATACTGACGAGGTAATTCAGCTATCTGATTCAGGTGTGATTCAGGGACTCATCTAAAAGTTGCAAGACACTGACCTTCGAGGCCTGGATTTGGGAATCGAGGCTCTAAAGAGAATTTACAATTATACCTATATATTATCTCTCTTGTTTGTTCCCGCTATTCTACTGTTTTCTTTTCTTTCACTTTGGTTTTCATAGATCAACTTTGAACAGCTTGCCGCATTAGTAATGACCTTTTCTGTGTTACTTTCCATGTGTAGAGCATAAAGAACTGTCAGCTGGAAAACTGTCAAGCAAGCAGTCTGAAAGTTTGACTTTTGCATGGTGTCTTTGGGTTGATATGCATTCTTCATCCAAACATGGGGGATGTGACCAAACTCCCTGACCAAACTCTATTTTTCCACTATGTCCCTTACTTGTTTGAATATTCTGCAGCAAAGTTTAAAAAAGGCCTCAACAATCTTTAGTAATGAGTCTTGAGCAGAGATTCTGAAAGCACTGTGGTTGAGTGCATTACGATGTTTTTCATTGGGGAAACTATACCTCTTTCTGACACCTGCTTCTCTACAAGTACCTCTTGATTCTTTCAAATCCTCTCAGAAATTTTACGATGGGAAAATCTCTTTTTTCTCTTCCAGTTTGTCTCCAACAGAACTAGAACATCCAGAAGTATAGAAATGCAGCAGCAACCATTGTCATTCACATTTTGCAGCAGCAAGACATTTGTGTGAAGATCTCTTTGCGGCTGTACAACACTTTGGTGATTAGAACATTTTTTAGGCAATCAGTTTATATTAAAAGTAGATGATATTGATGTACATGTAGTAGCAGCAATGTTTTAACTGATTTTAGCACAGATCTTGGGTTTCTATGCATTTCTGTACATTTTCAGTACTTATTTCCGACTTCACTACAAATATGTGTGGACTAATTTGTTTTAGATTTTTTTTTGAATACGCTGCTTGTTTCAAGTATCTGGTGTGAATTTGATAATGGCCTCAACTTAAATATTTAAACTAGGAAAAATGTGATGTATTCAGTACTTATTGTGTATCCCTGTACATATAGTAAATTTATATGCTACATTGCAATAAAGGTTTTTGATGCATTGATACACCTAAATCTAGTAGAATAACTCTGATAATTCACATGAATCAATTCAGTAATAACATGCTTGACTGTCTGTGATTTCTCTAATTATTTTAATAATCATACTTCAAAAGTAGCTGACTTTAAAATGTAAAAAGTAAAAACTAAAGTCAAACTAATGCATTTAAAAAAAGACAAATTGATCTGAAAAGAATATTTATTGATAGGAAGAACAAGTGCAATAAGTTTCAACATTAAGTCAATCATCCAGGGTAAAAAAAAAAGACAAGTTTATGCTGAAATGAGAGAATTGAAATGGCAAATCTGAAATTGCATACAGACCCAACTTGATCAAACATACTTGGAGAAATTACCAATGCTTTGGCCGAACAGCCATCATGACAAACAATAACTCAAAACATAGCAGGTCAAAATATATTTGTGGAAATTTCTAAGTAGATGGACACACAACAACATATGTGTTGTAGTCAGAAATGCAAACAGCAATTAATCAAAGTGTTTGGTTCAACTATTTCAGTAACTGTCATAAATACAAATTACTGAGACATTAATTACACAAAAACAAAAGCTAGAGCTTCGGAATGATTCAGTTGGTGCTTTAACAGAAAGTGTTTAAATCAATGTTGTGAACACTAGACACTAAAAAAAAGAAAAATACAAAACTATGAAGAGTGAATACTGGTGAATCATCCTTTAAAGCAAGTCACACTTCCAGTGTTTTAGCAAACAGAAGCCATAAAATGCATGCACGATGCCAAGAGACACCATGCCCCTGATAATTCCAAATTCATAGCCTCCTTTCTCTTGTAGGATTAATTTCTCATCACGATTCTTAGACAGATGGTCTGGTTTTAGTTTCTACGTTTAATTAAAGCCGTTTACTGAATGCACAAATTAGTCCAATGGTTATTTTATACAACTGTTTGGGTTGAGCACATAGAGACTGGCTCACATCATCCATCACTTGCAGGAGGAAAACTGAGATGTTGCCCAGAAACTGTCACTTTCTCTTTGCCTGGTCCATGATGATGACGGCAGTTGGACATGACATTAATGCACCTGGTCCCCTCCATGTCTTGCTGCGGCTCCCACCGTCCATCTGATCCCCCTACCCCTGCTTCTGCTTCTTGAGGTAACGAGCGCGCTGGGACAGACCCATCCCCATCACGTAGCTGTTGAGCATCTTGGCTGGAAGCAGAGCTGTAGTCACCCAACCCTACAGAGGGAAATTACATGGTCATCTGGTGGCATTTACAAATAACAGATTAGCATTCATTATTAATCTCCAACCCACAGGAGCAACAAATGTGGCAAGCGTGTTTGTACAAGGGGAAAAAACTCAAGCAATTGTGCCATCTTATTGTATATGCCCTTTTCCAATTATGTCTGAACTACATGCCATTTGTTAAAGTCAGAGATCACAAAACTCATGTCCTTATTTGGGGACTATTTGAAGCTTTCCTTAATGCCACTTTAAAAAGCAAAAGAAACAATCCAAGTGCTTTTGTAGCTAGAAGGTGGCACTTTCTGGGGTCAGTGGATGAATTTACGAGCCTGTGCATTATGAAGGAATGCAAATGACTACTTTAGCAACTATGGGAAGTGTAGTACAAGTGGAAAGTTTACGTATTCCTCCACTGGCATGGAGTTCAATGTCATTCTATTTGGGATGTTCCTGATGCATATTAATAATTTGTATGGAGATCTCCTAGGTTTCAAAACCAAGATTTCTGCTCACAAGTATGATTTTCTGCAGGATCATATTCCCGATCCAAACGTCTACCCCAATGTTGGAGTAGCAGAATCAGAACCACAGACTTAACTAGGATAAAGAAACCGATGAAGGCTGGTCCTCTTCTGTGGAAACACTGGAGATAATAGTGCAAAAAAGGATTCTTCATAAAATCACCGTCATGAAACTTTTTTACAACAGAGTGCCTTCAGTCAGAAGATTTTTCAGAGCTGCTGTAAAACTGACCACTACAGGAGATCCTTTATGCTCACAGCCATCAGCACCTACTACAACTCTGTGAAGAAACTTTGTAATATGAATTACAGCAAAAATTTATTTGAGATTTAATTTAATTGAATCAAATGAATAGTTCATTCATAAACAGGGTGAATGAATTAACTTAGTTGTGCTGGAGCAGGATTGTATCCAAAAGGTGAAAATAGTAGATTTCAAAAAGTGGACATTGGGACCTGCGCCTTAATGTTCAGCAACTCAACCATAGAGCTTTTTGCAGCAGTCAAAAAGCTTCAGATGTAATCCTGAAGGACCCTCTGGCAAAATCTGAAAAGATAACTTAAATATCTTGTTTCTCTGGGAAAGCCATAGCTCACAAATCCCTAATGGGTCGAGGCCAGGAATTTTAAAAATGCTATACGAGAAGCCAGATTTATCCATCCATGAAAAGTCAGAACAATGATGAAAATAAATCTGTTGGGAGAAATTAATGTACAAAACCCACAAAAATGAGTCAAATGTGAAGCATGGTGGTGTTAGATTTATGGTAAATATCAATGCACTCCCATTGATACTGGATTATCAAAATAGTGGATGGAATACTGTAGAAGGGCAACCTCCATGTTCTTCAACTCCTCAAATGAATGTCCAGATCACAGACACACATGAAAACTGGTTTTGGAAAGGATGATGAAGGTTCACATTAAGCTGCTGAAATGGCCCAAACATATATACTTTTAATAATTTCTGGAACATAATTAAATGTCTGGGAGTTGGAATTTTAAATTCCAACTTTAAAACCATTGTAAGCATTTGATCCGTCACTACTTCACTCCAAGAGAAGATTGGTTCAAATGCATAATAAAAAGCCACAAATGAATGACATCAATGTTCACGGTGAGTATGTACACCTTCCACCTGCAATGCAAATCAATTTTAAAGTGTTTTGCAGAAGAGATTCACAGTAAAACCAGATGATTTGGTTTAGAGTTTCAGTCCTCTCCCTAAGTGATGAGCAGGTTTATGCGGTCTAATCAGCAGTTTTACTCAGACTAACTGAAAACATAATGAACTCATTCTTCCAGCAAGGAGAGAGCTGAGGAGAAGGTATGTGATTACAGCTGCCTATCTGTTTGTTAGCCTGATTATGCAAACAAAAAAACACAACCACATATAATCACATTGAACTTGCTGGCGAGGCAGCCAAGAAAGAGTCCATTAAACTTCTCTTTGGATCAGTTTTCATTTAAGATATGAAAAAAAAATGGAATAGACTTTAAATTGCTTAAGTGCAGTTTGAAATTCCAACAAAATTTTATCTTATTTTTAATAACCGTAATTAAGTTTCATCATATTTTGCAGCTGCAGTTTTTTTCTCTCTTTTACAAAATCTACGCATCACTCAACCTAATGTGGCTATATAGTAAAAGGAGAAAAGCAGTTTACTTTATGTAGTTAAAGACTACAAACCCAGTAAATGAGGAGTTGATTGAGCCCAGTTAAAGATGACCAAGAAGCACCATCATAGGCAATTTACATGTACTGGTTGGTCAAAAACTGCAGGAACAGCATGGAATTTCACACTCCACTCACTTATCCATTTAGTTTTATTATTTTAAGCGTATTACTATGTCATTCTAATTGTACAACCAAAGAAAAATAAGCAGCGGCACCGTTAACGGAACAGATGTTGTTTATCCCCAGAAAGGTGCAGATTGCAGTTTTACAGCAGTCTAAATTGGATACTGGTGAACTGTGGCTTAAAACTGTAAAACGTGCAGAGTGCCGAGACACAGCTGAACAGAGAGGGATTATCAGATAAACACAACAGCTCCGCTTGTCCGCTGCTTATGGACCACTGAAATACTGTGGCTGAGGGCAGACAAGATCTGGGCTGAATTGATGCTATCTGCACAAAACCCAGCGACTGTGCAGAATTAATAAAAGCCTTTTTTATGACGAACATAATTCATTGACCACCTGTGTGCTGAAATAAATAGTGTCACCTAAATGTATAATCAATAAACATGATCGTTGATATTTAGGTCATATAGTCCACTGCAGCACGCTGACATTGACATATGCTTGTGACCTCTGATGAATGAAGGCACAGACTGGAAAATCAGGCCAGGACTGAAGTTTCCGCCTCATTTCTGATAAGGTGTCATTAGGATGCAGACAATGCTGAAAGGTAGTGAGGCATCCCACACCATTATTTTGGAGGATGTTTACTTCCAAACAGATGCTAGGAGCAGCTGTTGGAACAACATTACCTTTGTGAATAGAGGTGAGCTCATAGGAGGCTCTTTTGTATAAAGTCAAACCGGAGCTTGATGAGCTTTTAACACAGTTGCCATGGCATACCTTCACCACGCTGCATATGTATTATGCTGTTCCAGTTCTATAGCGCTGAGAAAGAAAGCTTATTTCTTTAAAAAATGGGTAACTCACTACAAGCATGCTTTCATAACTTCCATAGTCGTCGAGTCTGCACAAAATGTGTTTCAGTTGCTCCACAAGGTTATATAAACAAGCTACATAAAATATTTTTTTTCTCTATTTTGTACAAAAAATGTCAACAGTTGTTTGCTATGGCTACACAACTGATAAACTAGAGATAAAATAAGGGATGGGTTTCTTAGCTGTGCTGGATTTTTTTTTAGAAATGGATCAATAAAAAGAATGCTTCAGGTCATCCTGAGGCCTAATGGAGCTGGAGTTATCTACGTGTTTCTGAGCACAATTCAGAAAACAGTACAATCTGCAAACAAGTAAAAATTTAGGGTGAAACATCAGTTTCAAATAATCCATTAAATAATATAACCTTTTCTTGTTCTCTGCTTCACTAACTTGAACTGAAATACTAATAACTGCTCAGATCTGGACTAACTGTCTGTATACTAAGAAGTATTTTTCAGTTCAATGTTATGAAACGGTGCAGGGAATGACTCCCCATGTGTTTCCTAAAACGATTGACTAAACAACAGCAATGACGTAAGCAGTTCACTTAAATAAATGGTTCTTAATTAACATGCACGTATATACGGTTGACCAGGATTCTTTTTCAGGAAACGGCGTCGTTTTCCAGGGACATTTGAACCCCAAATGCCATCCATCCAATTTTGTCATGTCTGGGTAAAAAGAGGATACAGCCCTGGTAAGGAGGTGATGAGGAACTCTAAACCTTTGGAGCAGAGCATTGTGCAGGGAGCTAAAACTCTGATTGGAACAATACAACATACAAGTAAAACAGCGCTCCAGCTTATATTTCCTGTAAATTTCAATTTTACCTGAAAAAAAGATTTAAGCTCAACAAAACAAGGTGTGTGACTGCTGTGTGTGCAGCTTAAAATATTAGAGATTTAATAGTAAGCATTTCCTTAAAGGATTTGTTCTGTTTTAGAAAGTAGCAGACATAAAACAAAGAAACAATAGAGTGATGTTTTGCAACTGTAAAATACCAGGTTGTGATGCCAACTGAAGATCCCTCTTCTCTTTTCCATGCCTCAAATGTGCATGAAAGGAAGGCTGCAGCTAGTGAAGTGCATTTAGAGCTTGTTACAGTTACACCTTGCCTGGCATTTAGACTGACTTGACATAAGATACAAAGTGAACTCACTGTGAAATAATAAGTTAGTGGCCTTGATGTTACTTTTCCTTTCCCGTCTCATACTCTTTCTTTATAAGATGTTGGGATCTAAGCAATTAAAGTCTGAGTGCTTTTAGAAAAGTTTCAGACTGTACCCACTGTGTTACAATCAGACAGATCCTTTATTGGTGTGATTTCACCTACAACACACCTACCACTGGAGGCAACGCAATTAACAGGTTAAAGAGAGTAGCATAGTTTTAGAGAATTTCTGGTTCATTTCATGACATACCATAATAGCATGTGGCAGGTATCCATTGGTCTGAGTCTGCAGCCCCACAGTGTTGAGCTCAGCTGCAACGTAGCGCTCTGGACTAGGCTTGTCCAGGGTAGGGCGACGGATTTTACTCAGTTTGGTGGCAACATAAAACGGCAAAACGCTCTAAAAACAGAGAAATTGATTTAAAAAAAAAAAAAAACATCAATGCAAATAGCCTCATTATCTTTGCTTAATTTCCTGTTACCCCTCCCCAAACTTTAGTTATTAATCAACAGCACTTGATAACAGTGTTGGAACCCTTAGATTAGATTAGTCCATTAATTACCTGAATGATGATCCCTTTGCTCTTGTATTCAGCTTGCAGTCCTCGGGAGAAGAAGTCCACAAATGCCTGTTTGAAGCAAAGGCATGTGATTAATATTCCCTTTAGCCAAGTTCTCACCATTCTATTAATGAAAAAAATAAAAATAAAAAAAGGTCTATCGGCAGGATTCTTACAAAGTTTTAAATTAAAAACTCCAGACCTTTTCAAACTCAAAAGCCGATTACTCAAGCCCTTGCACTCAACTTACAATATAAATTTTAAAAAATCCAAGAAAAAGAAACACGAGGGAGGGGAGAATGGACAAAATAGAAAGGACAAATAAAATGGAAGAAAGGGAGGTAAAAAAATGGAGCGAAGGAAGGAAAAAGCAGTGAAGAAAGGAAGGAACGATGAGAAAGGCCAAGAAAGATAAAAGGGAAGGAAGAAAGAAATAAAAGAAAGGAAAGAACAAAAAAGGAAAGTAAGATAAAAAAGGAAGGAGGAAAAGGAAGACATTAAGGATACAAGGAAGGAAGAAGTAAAGGAGGGCATAAGGAAGGACAAGGACAGCAGGGAGAGAAAAAAGAAAGCAGGACATCTTCATATAGCAACTTTTCAACATTCTTGTAGCAGTGTTTCAAGTTTCCACTGCAGTGACTGTTTAGTTGCACATTCAAAGTGTGGATAATGGGATTCAGTAGAAAACAAAAAAAAAAAGATGCCAATGAACTTAAGTGTAACAGCGAGGGACAGACCATTTTCTAGCTACCAAAGAGAACATAACACTAATAGACATTAATGCTGCTCTATTCCTACACATATCGATTAGGTTTTGCCTGAGGCAATGTTTGTCAATAAAACAATAATTTGTAAAATGAGAACAAGACAGCATTCTTCTCCTCGAAGGCTACAGTGCATGTAAACAAAGTGTTTATGAAGCTGAGATGTGCCTACAGGTATTCCTACAAGTAACATTTGATGCGAAGGTCATACACCATGTACCGCAATTACCTTGGAGGCAGAATAGATGGTGAGGAGAGGAACAGGGTACATCCCACTGGCAGATGAGATGTTTAGGATGGCTCCCTTTTTCCTAGAAACCACATACAATGGCAAAAAAAAAAAAAAGTTCTTTTACACCAGAAAGAAGAGGAAAAAGGCTGGTAGGTGGGGGGCAGCAGACACTTCAGCCTGAAATCAATCCCAGCAAGATAAAAGAATATGGTAGCACATGTACTCGCATGCTGAGCCAAAACTCCACTCGTAGTACATCAAAGTAGAGCTGGTGGATAATGATAAGATCAAAGATACAGCAACATCAATACTTAAATGTTTACAATCTGATGACATTTTTGCTTCAGCTCTTGGTACCTTCATCCTGATTTTTTTCCCTTTCTGAAAATAAACTTTATTGTAAGGAAAATATTCAGCAAGACATAAATCCTTAGCACAATGATAACAGAAGAATACCACACATAAATCTATATGAAAGCATATGCATACATATAGATAAAGTCAGATGTTGCAAAACATATTAGGAAATTCTAAAGTTTTTGGTGATAAATAATATAGGAAATTTTGATATAAAAAAATACATATTTATTTTCTATAGATTTTCAAATAATTTATTCTAAAATACTTCTGTATTGTGGCAACTGCGTCTGCCAGCTTGTAACAGAAAAAGCAACACTGTCTCCCCCTTTTGGCTGATTGAGAGCTTACCCCAGTGCCACTGGCATTCAGCTGATGCCACATTTGGCAAATGCCAAATTGTTTTGGGCAAACTGTGTCAGATTAGTTAATTTTTAGTTGGATTTTAAATATGGATGTCATGTATTCCAGGACAAAGATTTTCCAAAACAACTTGGTCGTTAGAAGGGTGTGACATTTGGCATAACACCAACAACGTCTCAGACAAAAACCCATCTTATATTAACAGTAAAACAGTGTGGTCTGATTATCTGGAATAGATCTGGTTTTTCAACTCCTGAGACAGCTTGCAATTATTAATGGTCCACGACTTTGGCTTTCTACCAAAAAATGTTCTGAAGGAGAATCCTGCAGAATGACCCCAAAACAAACCTTTTATGGTCAAGAACCATCTGTTGTGCAGACTTAAAAGCACTGCGATAAAAGATGCACCAAAATTCTTCAACAGGAATATTTAAAAACTCATTGCCAACTATTACACATGCTAAAAAGAAACATGCAAGAAAAAAACCACAAAGAAATTTCTAGTGGAGGAACCACTTTTTCACCGAGCTGTAGATTTTGCAGACAAATTTCTCAAAAACCCTTAAACTGTCAGTGGAAGAATTTTGCGGGGGTCTGATTTAAGTTTGGGCACAGCTCCAGAAGTGGTCAAAAAAGAATCCAATCACATTTTCCTTCTACATTTCATTATGTGCCTTCATCATACATCCACATACTCATTTACTGAATAAACATGAATAAACAGCTCTTTAATCCATCCAATATGTATTCTAAAACAGATCTGGTTATTGACCTACACATATTACCTCTCAAGGTAAAAGACATTTCTTGAATAATAAATATTTTTTTATTTAGCCAAAAGCTTGTTAATCCAGAGTTTCATAATATTCAATATTTTGTTGAAGCATTTCTGGCAGCAATCAAGTCTCCATAGAAACAGCTTTGCAAACTTGGTACACATATTTTAAGGTATTTCTCCAATTTGTCTCTGCAAATCTTATGCTTAGCAAGGTCGGATAAGGAATATTTGTAAACAAACTTTTCCATAAATGTTCAATTGGATTTCAGTCCAGGATCTGGCCGGGCCACTCAAGGACATTCACAAACTGTTCCTAGAGCCACTCCTTTCTCCTGGTGATTGCTTTGAGTCATTGTGTTGGAAGACGTAGAGTTCCAGAGCGCTCTGTGGGGGGCGGTCTCAAAGGATCTCTCCATATTTTTTCCCACCGTCATTGTATCCTTGTGCACCCACTTTCTTTACTTAAGCACATCTTTACAACATAATGCTGTAAACGCTTAATAACAGTGTTTTATTTTGTTTTTCAGTGTTCAGACCAGGAAACATTTCTTGTTTTATCAGGCCAAATATTTTTTTTTTTTTTTTTCTCTGGGTCTGAAAATCTATAAGGCGCTTTTTTGGCAAAATTCAACTTTGCTGCAAGTTATCTACATGATCTCCTTAACATCCACTCATATTTGACAGCACTTCAGTCAATCAGCCAGTTTTTCCTTGATGTTCTGCAATCAAACTTAAAATTAAGTAGTGATTGAGAATTTGCCATGTCAGCTAAAAATGTCTCTTTCTCTGAATGAGATGCTAAAGACGACAGAAGTCTTGTTTTATTTTATTACTGTCCATTTGATTTGCCGTTGTTAATGTTGGTGTAATCGTTAAGCAATTTGGTCAAATTACGTTTCTAATATGCTATTTAAATAAATTTGACATCAATTTACCATAATAGGTCAAACAGGTGGAGTGAGTAGTGAATGGCTGAAGTTCTGGATCATTCCATCTTCAGAGAAAAACAGTGCACGTCTCCCTTGGAGACCATTGAGTTCTTGGTCACCTCTCAGATCCGTATTCCCCAATTATTCAGTTTTGTTAACTGGTCAGATCTAAATATGGTCCAGCTGGTTTTAAACGTATTCCCTTTCTGAACTGTGTTTTTCAAGGGAGTTCAATGCTGTCAAAGTAGTTCTGTCTCACCATATTTGTGCCTTGACACAATCCAGTCTCTGAGGTCTACAGGTCATACCTTTGATATACCGATGCCGTCAACAGGGTGACCTTCTACAGACAAGTGTGTTTTATTTCAAATCATGTTAAAGTCAACTAACTTTATCGTAGGTCTTTCCAGTTTTTCATAATAGGCTACTTAATCAAGATTTCTTTCAATAAAATCTGTTTTAGAATAAATTTGTATTGTGTGGAAAAAGTAAATAAGTGTTAATATTTTTTTCCAACATCGATGGCATTTCTGTATGGGAAAAAAAACAACAAAAAAAAAAAAACAAAACAACTCACCTTTCTACCATTTGAGGTAAAACAAGACGAGTCATCTGGGGAGGGGAGAGGAAAGCAATTAAAAGGAGATGCCAGAGAGACGCTGAAGAGAAATTACAGATAAAGAATGCTTATTGTTTGTGTGTGGATGTGTGCCTGCAAACATACACCTGTGTGGGAGGTGTGTGAAGAAGTGGTCAGAGAGGTAACACAAAGAGAGGGAGGAAATGTTAATGATAGCACAGGGAGCCATTTGGAGAAATATTGAATGACCTAAATTAAGTGTTAAAAGAGTGGGTGGACTTTAGCTGCTTCTCTGGGAGCTGCTATATGCGGATAACAGGGACGGAAGTGACTTACTGTGTTTTATGTCACTGTTTCCCATGTTTTTGTGTGTGCGTGAAAGAGTGTTCTCATCTGTGAGTGACTAACTGACAAAACACACACAACAGAAAAATTCCCGGCAATCTGAATCCACTTAAGACAAACGTAATTACTCAGAGGTGGTTCAGATGCCACAGGGGAAAACTAATGATATGAGCATAATTCAAACTTTATAAAGTTTTATTGGATGCAGACTGGGACTGAGCTAGACATTTAACTTAATATCTGCTACAGGTTTCCAAACAAGCTTGCATACGACAACATTTATCAAACTCTAGATTTATTCCACCTAATTTTTTACAACCCGAGTTCTTTTTTTTTTTTTTAAGAAACATGCTGGACTGTCAGTTCAAAAGCAGAACTACCAATCCATCAACAGAGTCAAGGCTGTAATTACAGCTAAAAGTGCATTATCTAAATATCAAATGGTAGGCAGAGAAACTTATGCAAGCATACATGGTTGGTTTCTTTTCAGGCTGGTATTTGAAAATGTTTTCCTTCTTTTTAGTTACTGTGATTAAAAACTTATTCACACTTACCTGGCACACTGACGTTATGTTAATGTTGATCATTGTGTCGATGAACTGAAATAAGAACAAGACCAGTTAATTATCTTGAGGAATTATTTTCTGAGTTAAAGTTTTTATAAATTTTCATGGTCATACAACACCAGTCCATTTCTTACAAACCCAACTGATTTATTAAATTATGAGAGATGAATTTTAGGCAGTTTTTAATTCAATTTAAATTCAACATAAGTGATCTGAGCAAAGCCTGAACTTCAATTAGATAGATGTCAAATGAAAGACAGCTTACCGTGTCCAGGTTGGGAACGTTGAGGAAGAACTCAGGGTAGGAGTAGGATGTGCCCACATTGTTTACTACAAAATAAAAGTAGATTTTATTTTTATTTTTTTTAAGTGACAGAGCCTGAAAATACACTGAAAACCCCTGACTTTAAACCAGAAAAAGACTCAATTTTATAAATAAAAATGTGGAAAAAAGTGCAATTCATTTTCTTGTCTTTTGGGGGCAGCAAAGGGTTGTTAAACCAGATGCACATAAAGCTATAATTTAATATTTTATGTTAATGCATTTAACAGATTGAGAAACAACTCAGAACATTATTCAAGAACAAAAAAATGCATTTTAAAAAAGTATAGTGCACAGTAAAATGCTGCAAAATATATTTCAAATTTATTCTCACAAATTGTATGCAATATAAATTTTTGCAAATAACTGCTTTAACTGCAGTAAATACTAGCTAATTCCATTATTTAAGTACCATCTAATCAGGCTCTCTGTGCCAGTTAGATATTTAATGATTCATTTGATTTGAGTTAAGTAAAAGGTCATTAAGAAACAGCAGCTGTAGACAGATGCCAGTTAAAAGAATGTGATGTCTGGAATAAGATGGAAATAATTATTTTTTTTCCAATCTTTATATGAGGACTATTTTTATTATAGACCCTCAGAAGACAGATACCAAGACCATTTCTAAATTATTTATTAATCACAAGTAAATTCAGCATCAAGACCTTTATCAACATTATTGCATTTAATTGTTTTGTAATGTGCAGTACAAGCACCCAATACATAGTTGGGGCTCCTTTTGGATGAATTATAGCATTAGAGGGTCTAATGTCATAACTTGACGTAACTTAACTTGAATGTCATAAATATTCTAAAATATTCTAAAAAAAATAATTTTAGTTTCAAAAATTAACAGAAACAAATGTTTGAAATACATCACTATTCAATGAGTTTCACATTTTGAACTGAATTTCTGAAACAAAATGATCTTTTCAAAAACAATTGAACTTAATTGAGATGCACAATCCCACATATGCAATACTTGCATTAACACAGATTAAATAAATAAAGAGCATGAAATAAATAAAGAGCATTTTAGAAAGGAATTTTCTTCTTATATTCAAATAAAATCCTAAACCCGAGGTGAACGGTGCACCAGACTTACCCAGCACGCCAATCTCCAGTCCCGCAAGGCCCTCTTCAATCTTTGCATAAATATCTATAGCACTGAAGTCTGCTGCAATCGTTTTGGTCTCCACGCCACATTTGCTTGCTGGGGACACAATCATGCATTTGAGCTTAGTAAATAGGGATATTAGAGACAGCAAAAGGGTTAATTTAAATATTTATCCAATATGTTCATCACTGACAGAATCCCTTTTATCCAATTGCATGGATTCACACTTGGCTCCAGCAGGAGGCTTTACTCCTCCAAAATAAAACCCCTGCTGCATCTCTACAGTACTGAAAGGATCACGTGCAAAACACTCAATTCAGTGCTATATCATTTAGTCACTTGTCAATTAGGCCCTTTGGGTGATAAAACACTTCAGGCTGAGGATGAATGAGGATATGCAGCAAGGATCTTGATGGCTAAGCCCTTGTCCAGCAGCTCTTTGCCTTAATGGATCACCTGTATTAGTCTTTTTCTTGGGAAGACAAGCAATATTGATTTCCCTTGACACAGAAATGTAAGACTTGTTTGAATAATTGCTTAAAAACACTAATACTCTGTCATCCTTAATATTTTACTATGATGTGCCATGTTAGAAGGAGAAACAAACCAAAAAAAAAAAAAAAAAAAAAAATCAAAGATGATGTCAAAAAATAAGAGTGCACATATCTTACCAATTGCCTTGGATACATCATCAAGTTTCTCCTGAGAGCGACTAATCAGAATGATGGCAAAGCCTCTGCGGGCGAGCTGTTTAGAAGCAAAGGAAAAAAATAATCAAGTCTACGAGAAAACAAACAAATCATGCTGCTGTAATCACACAAAATAAGAGACAATAAAACAAGAGCAAAAAAAAAAAGTTGCATCATTAATTGGAGTTTTCATTCACATGTAAAAACATGTAAACAGAATCAGAGAAAGATTTCATTTTAAGACAGATTGTATGAAGAACCACATAACTAAAACCATACACTACATATATAAACAAGCTTGGAAAACTAGCATTAGAAGATACAAAACTTCCTTAATGCAACCTCTGAATGAGAAACATTATCCATGCCATCCTACCTCCTCCGCATATGCTTTCCCAATCCCATCTGTGGCTCCTGTTACAACTGGAAGTTGGACAAAAAAGGACAAACAAGTAGAATTAGCATTCTTCCCATTAAATTGGAATACTTACAATGAAAAGGGGAGGCAATGGTATGGCTGTTTAGATCGTTCACACGCTCAACTGTGAGTAGTTAAAGTAGTTTGTAGAACCAAATAATCGTATTTATCTGCTACTGTAACATTTTGCGACTGTCAAACTTGTCTGACTTGTCGGGGGCGACTGTCAGACAAATGTTGGATCTTGTGTGCAGAAGTTGTTCTGATGCAGTTATAAGAATAACAATAAGTTAGGTCAGTGGTGTCAGACACTGCTCACTGCTCTTTGTATACTGTGCTCTGTATATTTATACAAAGTAACTATAGTATTTGCAAGAAAACTGTGCAAACAGCAGCAGAGATGCCAACCTATTGGGACCAAAACCTACAATAAAACTGTTTTTGTGCATTTCAGATGCAGCAGCCTATCACCAGAGGAGTTCTCCAGTTCTGCAACGGCTTCACGTGTGAGGCAGGAGACATATTCAAAGAGTGACGTTATTTTAGTCAGAGAATTCTACGTGACAAGTCGAGTTAATAGTAAAGGAATACTTTACAGATTTTTCTGATGTAGTTACAGCTGCAAGTCTTGTGGGAAATGTTTCAACTATCTTTGTAATTACAGACTGAAAACATTCACCCTTTCAGCTTTGCAAAATAGCTTAACGTTAGATATGGAGAGAATCTGTGAATATCAGCTTTATCACAAAATCTTAACTGGATTTTAGTGTGGCTTTCAACTGGACTGTTCCAAGACAAAAATGCTTTGATCTAAACTTAAACCATCGTAAACATTTTGGCTCCGACTCCGGAAGGTGATCCTTCAACTAGGGCAACAATTGTTGGCTAATATATTTTAAGTGCTATGAAACTTCCTAATGTAATATCCAGTCAGTTGAACAGAGTTTTACGGCAGCCAACGTTCACAGCGGACACCAACGGCATTACGCAAAGAGCTAAAGACACAGGGTGATGGAAGCACAGAAGAGAAAAAATATGAAAGTAGGCATATATAACTGATATCTTCCATGATTAGCTTATGTTTAGTTCCTTCCAACAAGGGGAATAGTATATGCTCAATGTGATGCTCAGTGTTAGTTTTCCACCACACACTTTCCACTTTCAGGTGAAGAATTACCCAGGTGTTTGGGAGACATCCATGATTGTGTTCTGGATGTCCATGATGTAGTTCTTCTTACTAGTGCTCTCTAACAAACCTGTGAGGCCTTCAAGTAACATGTGCATTTAGATGGAGATTACATAACCCACGAGTAAACTACTCACTGGACTTTCTTTATAAAAAGAGTATAAAAAGATAAAAGAGTAAAAGTGGACTGAAAGCAAATGCAGGCCACACTTTTCAGATTTGATTTGCAAAAATCTATGAAAACCATTGATTATTTTCCTTAAACTTCAAAGTGCTTTGTGATTATCCTTCTATCCATCCTACACATTTCAATGAATTTAAGTCTGTGGTTCAAATGGAAACAAAGACAGAAATAAAAGACCATTTAATCGATCTTTCAAACAATTCTCTATGATATTAAGCTCACAAATAGGTTATGTCTAGCCAGTGTACTCTATTCTGAAGTAGAAGCATTAAGAGATGTGAAAGTATTTTTAAGACACAACAATGGATCTCTGTGTAGTCTTATATCAAGAACACTTGATATTAGATAAACATTGACTGGCCAAGCCCCAGCAAGGCCAAGTGGAAAATTGTTTGAATAGAAAAAGGGCAGAAGCAAATGAAGCAAGAGCTTTCAGAAAAATCTAGCTCTCGGGTTAGCGGCTATAAAGAAGGAAAGCTTCTTTACAGACAGAAAAGGCACATGCAGAACCAACAAAGCAAACAAAAAAGAAAGCAGCATCAATACACAGACTAACAGTGCCACCTACAGAAACTTACGAGACATCTAGAAAATGCTGTGCAAACACGGCAACGATGAACAAGCTTTACAAAAACAATAAAAAATAAAACACTGAATACACCTTCAAGGTTAAAGAGACTGTCAATTCAAGCTGATGTTCTGCAGAAAGATATGTGGAGAGCTGCTAATGTGACCGATGAGGACAAAGAAAAGAGAATGCAAGTTCTCTCTGTCATAGGTAGCAGCAGAGCGAGCAGATGCCCTGGAAATGCCTGGCACAAACAGCAGCAACAGCAGCAGCAACAGACTATTTTTAGCAGTCCCCAGCTTTCAAAAAGAACGATTCAACACATCCCTTGCTAAATATAACAAAACGTGGATTGAGACAGGAAGCGCTACGATATGTCCCGGTATGACCTAAAAAAGCTCTCTTTAAGAGAAAAACTTATCTTATCCCTGGGTGAACCCACTTTTCTTCATTCATTATCATTTACATTTATGGATTTTTTTTTTAAAATGAAATCCCAGTTGTGGCTTAGAAAGAGAGAAAAGTACATTTATAAAAATACTACTTTATAAGTTAGGGGCAGTAAGGAGGACAACTTCTAATGCCTCTTCTAGAAATGACAATATACATTTAGGCTTAATGAATACTAAGCAACAAGGAAGAACAAGACTAACTATACAGAGTTAAAAATGAGCAAACAAATATGTCCCAAAGGGGATTGGTACGGTGAAAACAAGAATTTGTCAACCATCCGTCCCTGCTTGCAAGGTTGCAGAGAGATCTGGCGTCAGTCTTCAGCAGCCATCGGGCAGCAAGTGGGGCACACACCCTGAGACACCCAGGAGAAACAACTATGCAGACACACACTTTTTAAGGCAATTTGGGTTAAATTGCCTTAAAAATTTAACCCAATTTGTAAATCCCCTGTGACTTGTTCCACTGTTGGTTCCACTAGGTCATAAATAAATGCTGCCTTTTAATTTCAAAATATTGCATTTTTGTGCACCTTTTAGTACTGCACTTGCAGTACCAAAATTCAATTGCTTTAGGGAAGTCCCTTACGTGATGATGGGTAAGCTTTAGTTTTATGTTTTTGTATTTTTTTTTATGAGCTTTGACTATACAGTGTGACAGTTGCACCCAAAAGACTGATGATTTTTCATATACTCTCCATCTCTAGTCATAATGTAGTAAATGTATGGAATAAAAATATAAAGGTAAAATCAGTGATTTTTTTTCCCTCTCCACTAAGCACATTACTTCACAATGACGGTTATTTCACAATGAAGATTGCCAGACACTTGGTAATCTTTCTTGTGGAGAATAAGCCAGCAAGATTAACCAGTTAAGCTTCATCTTAAAAGGTTTACAGCAATTCTGAAATGTCAAGTTTACAAATCTAAAATGATAAAGATGTTTGGCCCTACCCCGTCATTTCTGTCGAATGAGAGCAATGATTGTCACTGGTGTGGCTTTTTTTATAAATTGTAGTCTGCTTGCAATGAAGCATAATGTGAAAGCAAACTGCACCAAACAAAAAAAAAAAAATAAATAAAATCCATTTTTGGTCTGGACCAAACAAGCAAACCAAACGATTCTCCTGGTGTGAACACACCCTTAGACGCAACCCTGTCCCAACAAACTTCGATCAAATGAATGGCTCTCAACAGACCTTTGCCAAACGTGATGACATGCTGAAGAGGTAATTAAATAATTTGTTCCAGTTGTGTTGGGGGCAGAGATCCATCTAAAACCCCTAGGACAGTAGATCTCGAGAATCAGGGCTGGTAACCCCTGGTGAATCAATATTCACCTAAGATCTCACTATGAGTCAAGATCCTCAATTACCTCTTTGAACTACAACTAGCTGTAAATCCAGGACTGTGAGCACCAAAAGCAACCGACGGCTTTCTGAAATGGTTCTAAGAATCAGTTAAAAGGCTCCAGCAGTGCATATATGCTGTGTAAGACCATGTTTGATGGAAAGCCATCATTGTCTGTGGATACTTCCACCAGAGAATGCAATTTGAATGATCAGACAAATGACACATTTTCTTTGAATCTCCATTTAAAAGGCTAGAAATAAAAGAGCCATGAAAGCAATAAGAACATGTTAAGCAGCATTCTTCAGTCCTTTGAAATAAAATGCTGTAATTTCAGTAAATCCATTTTGAGTAACCATTATTTTATAGATTTTCCAGAGCTACAATATTACTCAAATGTCTGAGCACTCTGACTCATAAGGAAGATATGTCCTAATTTGAAATGTACACTATTATGAAACACATTTGTGAGTGTGCCACATTGTATTTTAGATTTAACTGAAGGGCTAAGATGTTCGTTAGAAAATAGTTAAAAGCAGCAAACATGTAAAGGTCTAGACACATTTAATATAGGAGATGATTGTTTTAAGTTTTTGGATGACTTAGGAAAGCTAGCTGATCAGAGTAATTCAGCTGACCCATTTTCTCTTCCACTTCAATTTTTTATTACTTAGTATTTCTCAACCACACAAAATCCCTCAAAAAACATTGACATTTGTAGTTGGAATGTGACAGACAGGGGAAACCTCAGGAGGGATTCAACATTTCTTTTTAAATGCGTAATTTATTTTCAGAATAATCAATTGCCTAAGCCAAATTTTCTAAATTGTTTTCACTGCCTCATCTAACGCATGGTAGATAAAACTCTTTGTAATGTTTTCAGCCCAAAAGTCTGAAATCATATTAGATTCAATACTGTTTGCACATTAGTTTGATACATCAAATTTGCTTTCATAAAATGGTGCCCATGCTACTTACAAAATCTAATATTCCTTCCATAACAATGAAGCTTATTCAAAGCACACATTATTCTTATTTTACACTATTTATTCTATTTCTCCCTCTATTCATCTTTTTTATTGAGCCCATCTCTCTTTTGTGTGATACTCTTGAGTGCAGATGATGCTGCGATGCCAGGCATCCTCTAGGGCTGCAGGAGAGCCAAACAGAAAGGAGCGGCCGAGAAAAAGAGAAAAGAAAATGACAAACACGAACATGGGGGATCCTGGGGGCAACTAAAAATAGCACAGGGAGAGAGGAGGGTGGGGGTACGGGAGAGTCTGTAGGCAAAATGATGAGGGAAACATAGACTGGTTTATTTTTAGGCATTTTAAGAATGAACAGTTTTTCAGGCAGAACAGGAATAAAAAGTAAGATTTTACAGCTGAGTGCATGTTCCCTTCACTCAAATAAATAAGGATCTATTTTCAGAGCTGCTGTTGTCTTCTGTAAAACTAGGTCAGACCGGATAAGTGTCCTAAATGATACTGCTACTATGTGCATATGAACCCCTGTTATCAACACAACCACTCATTTCTCAGGTCTCCACCAACATCAGTCATTTTAGGTCTTGTATATGCAGAAGTAATCATCACTGAAAATAATCTGAGACCAACAAATGTTTAACTAAGTCAATCACATGTCAGAATAATAGAACATGGCTGCTTACTGCCTCACTAATTTAATAGTAAAAATAGCTGAAACTGATTTTCCAATATACAAATATGTTGACAAGATGTTTGCTTCATAGGTAAGCTCAGGGAGAAAAAATTTAAAAAAAACATCCGCCTTTATATTCCACGCTAATTTACATTTAAAATTGTCTCATATATTAAATAATACTACAGCAGGATGTACCGCTTATTCAATGTGACAAAAAAGTAAATAAATTACAAAAAATAAAACAATCTAATTTCACAAAGCAACTCATTAAGTATTGCAGGTAATAACCAGCAGAGGGAGACATAGAGTTCCACTCAACAGAGACAAAATCCAGAAATTTAAACTTGCAAAGAAAACACAGCATAAAAATGTTAGCTGGATTAATAAATGCTTATAAATGTATAATTGATCCAAAACATTGGATAAAATGTTTTCATTATTATTATAAGTTTTCTTCACAAACAAAAACCTTAGCGTGTATGTTTTTGTTATAACAATAATTTTCATCCATATGCATGACTTGGCATGTTCAACCCTAGGGTCAGGCTATGCAGGGCTCAAACTACAAAGAAAAAAAGCAAGCAACGTCTCAAGCTACACACACATCAGACAGCAAGGTCAATGTGAAGACTATCACACTATTAATAAAACATAGACAAAGTAACTGAGCTGCAAAAGGGTAGGGTGGCTTCTCTGGGTCAGGGACCAGGTCCTGTCCCAAGCAGTGGATGGATAGATGGTCATTAAAATATCTAACTCACTCTGTGCTAATACAGCCTGTAAGCAGTTGTGTTAAATAGATTCCAAAGATAAGCAAAATAAAATGAGTAAAATTTATAATGTGCTTTACAATATTGAAGCATTACTTTATTTTTTTTTTCTGGCATGTATACCACTAATAACTCTGAGATCTTTGCTAAGCAAGTGGATTTCATTAGCATGCAACTACAAGGGCTCAATCATATTTTCATAGATGCTCCCTTCTTTTGCTCAACATCTCTTACACACACAGTTTTTTGAACTGTGGGAACCACTGAACCAGAATCTTGAGGATTCTGCGTCTCATGTGTGCCTCATTTATGAATGACTCTGGAATTGTGATATAATCAGGCTGTCCTCCCAATCAAGTCCACTTCACTGAGACAAAGTTTGTGAATGAAAGTAGCAGTGGAGGCCAACAGGCTCCTTTTGCCTCACTGCATATTCTAAATCATTTTGCATGAGTGATCCAAAAATAAACTCCCTTCTCCCTCTGATGAAGTTCCATTTATAGCCACACACACACAAAAAAAAGATCAAAAGCAACTTCAGTTCCCAACTTCACTTCCAAACATTTTCCTCTCTCTGGCAGACTGATGTCACTGTGCATGTTAAAAGGGATTCTGAACATTTTCAACTAAAACAATCTGCCCAATTTCTCTACAATCTAAATCACCAAGATCAATAGCTCAAAACAGATTACTTTTAACTATTAGAGTTCCCATACGGTATGCCCATTTCTAACACACACACAGTCTTACAGTATCTGTGTTGAAATGTGGACTTTGAACTCTAGGGTTACGCGTATGAAGTAACATCAGGTAGCCTGTTCAAATGTCAAGGTTTGATCAGTGAGCAACATGGGAAAATGGACAGTATTCAATCTGATTTGATAATCCACTCGAACCATAATCCAGTCACAAGATTTACTAAAGTTTACAACCAAACTGTCTGAACATTCCATCGTGTTCAACATTCCAGAAGGCAGTCACCCGCATTTTCTGCTAGGGCAAACAAGATAGGTCAAGAGATGTGTGTGCGCTGCTGCAAAATGGGAAGACAAATATAGATTCAGCAGATGTGAATTATTAAAATATGTTAGAAAAACGGCTGCATGGCAGTGTCACAAACTACTATGTTAATTTTATCAAATAAAACTTCGGTATACACATATTTTGTAGCTACGATTAGTTATGCAGACCAACAGCATTTTAAGAGTATGGACAATAAGTTTGTGATAAATGTATAAAGTTTATCAGATTTGGCTTTTTCTTACCTTCCTTTTTGCAAACTTGATTCAGCACATTATCATTCATTGCAATTCTATACATTTCTCAAACAGACTGGATACATTGTAGCTGGGAACAAAGAAAACAACTGCAACTAGTGACAGTTGAATAGTACACATTGTCCTGATACTGGCACAGCTATTTTCTGATTTGCAAGGCCTTTCTAAGTGTTATATACAAAGCACAATCTAGTGAGATGGTGTCTTCACTCTAAAGACTGTCTGTTCCTTAAGTCAGTACCGAAATGGGAAAAAGGGCATGTAGGTATGCAGACATTTGCAACAAGATTTTAAGTCTTCAGGAACGGGTGTTGCAGATCAAAATGAAAATAATATACCACATATATTTATTGGTCAGAGATGGGATAAAATGTTTCCCCAGATTTGGATAAAAATAAAAATGTGTTGATGGTTATGGCTGTGGGCAGGAAGGATCTTCATAGCAGTCTGTATTACAGTGTTTCTGAAAAAGCCTAAGAGAAACTCTGCAATTTCACCATACTATCAAATGGTAATTGAATTAAATTACATGCCGTTTTAGGTTTTAGAAGACAAACTGTCTTACTTAGTTTTCAATAAATAGGGTCAGTTATTGGACATGGCGATCACCAGTCTGAGCTTCTCTGTCCAACTGATAGGTGCATCTTTATGATGACATATTTCTACTCTCGCTGTAATCCGATTAACAAGAGAAGTATAATAAAATATAGACCTGACAGACAGATGTAGATATATCTTATATCAAAACAATACATGTTGGGTTGCTAGTACAACAATATGCAAGATTTGCTGTTATCATTTAACGTCTCTTAAACGTTAAATGATAACAGCATTTCACTTCACCAAAACCTTATCAAAAAGACTCATTGTCACTTTTTTCTGCATGATTAAGACCAGTTTTAACTGCGATATTACTTGACATTAGTGTTTCCAGCCTTCTGGACTCTCACCTGCCCACTTTCCCAGTTTGTTGGGGGAGATCAGTCTTCCGTTGCCCAGCACCCACACCCTGAAGCCGGACAGTAGCCGGTACACGGAGCACACGGACAGCCAGGCCGCGGTTAGAGCACCCAGCCAGAACAGCGGCGCTTCCACGGCCTTACACATGGCTTCTCCGCTGAAAGACATTCCCGCACCGGTCCTTCCTCTGTCTCTGCTCTGTGGTGACACTGACACCTGGACTTCTAACCTCTTTACTAATTAAACAGGCGCTGCTCAAAGTGCAAAGGGAATCCCAGCTTAGACGCCCGAGTCAGACGCTTCCTCATGTGTGTTTCGCTGCTGGTGATTGGGTCCTTCTTCTTCTTCTTCTTCTTTTGTACGTTTCTTAGCAACAGTGAAAAACCGAAGCATTATCACCACCTACCGTTGAGCAACATGTCAAGAATTCAAACTGTTCAATGATCGATAACTGGACCATTCTCTTTTTCTCTGGAAATGAACGATTTTTTTGTGATACAGATATTTTTCTTGAGTTGTTTTTTTTAATTATTATTATTATTTTATATTCTATCTTATACTCTGGAATAAAATAGATATCTGGCTATATCTTTTCACTTTTGAACAACGGGATTTTAATTTAAGCTTATTTTATTTATTTATAGATATAAAGACCCTATTTATAATTTACTTAACTCTACAGCTCTGTATCTGTATGCCTTTTTTTTTTGTTTTGCTTTTTGTTTGATTGTTGTTGTTTTTTCCCCACTATATTTACACTAGTAAATCTTTAAAATACAAGGTGTCATTTCAGGAGAAACCCTTTTTGAATATATACGTGCAAAAAAGCCAATATGCTAAAAAATACTAGTCAGTACAGTTCATAACCAATTAACTAAAAACCATAAACCAATGAACTAACACACACTCTTGCACTCAATACATTGCAAACTCTTCTTTCTATGTGGTGTTTGTACTTGCCATCTAATTTCTTTTTTATATCTCAAGATATTTTAAAAATGTATTATAATTCTGAAGTACTCCATTGTATTTAATAATATATATTTAGTTATTATTTTTATTTTTTTGTCATTTTTTATTATACCACTGATTTGCAACAGCTGATTTTCAACTACATCTTTAAATTCACAGATTTTACAGAATTTTAAGTTTATTTAAATATTTATTTATTTGATATATTTGGTACTTGACTTAACTGTACAATCAAATCTACAAGTTATGTGGTAGTGGATATGAAGATAAGGTGTGTATGCTTTATATTTAAAAGTAATATTAGACATTTGCTTGTTTGTCTACCTCTTTGCTTATAGACATATGAAATTGAATATGCAATACTGAATTTCACCAACATGACATAAATCATGTTGGTATGAACATGATTTATATCTTGCATGATTTTTGTACTAGATTTATCATGTTAAGGAAACCAGTTAAAAAAAATTAAAAACTGAACAATTGAGCTGTATATATAATAAAATGAAATAGCCTATGTTTACTCTGATTGTATTTTAATAATTTCTTGATTGTGTTGGAATTATATTTTTCATCTCAAATGCCGATCAATGATTTCACTTCACTTGTATTATTTGACCGATATTTTATACAACACTGTTTAATTTTTACCTTTCTTTGGGTTTTTGTGCTTTCATGCATCTATGGGTTATGTTGTTAGATTTGTTGATTAACATATTAGAGAACCTTGATCCCTTGTTCAAAAATAATAAACCTTAAGTCAGCAATGGCACTAAAAAATGCACAAGGTCACAATGTGAATAGGTTTAAAACTTTATGAATGTCAATACAACTCCTTCATTTTTTAATAAAACACATAATTATGTCCAAGTTAGTGTACAGATGCAAACACATACACACATACGCACACACACACACACACACACACACACACACACACACACACACACACACACACACACACACATACGCATAACATAGTTCAATCAAGTGAAGCAGACATCAGTGGTCTATAACGTTAGTGTGAGCGTTACATAAGCGCATTGCTACTAAAAATAGAAATGCACCAATTGTAAACATGGGTCTAAACTGTCGGCTGTGGACTTTCAAAGGAACCTGAATGAAATTTAAATCAGAGCATTGTCTCGGTCGCAGATGGACCGGCAGCTGATCCTTACTGTGAATGCCCCAAGGCAAGTCCTGTGAGTCTGCTGCTCATGCCTCAGTGAGTGAGCGTGTTGTAGGTAAGTGAGGAGTGTTGATTTCAACTGTTGCATTGATTGGTTCATGAAAAAAGTGCCAAGCTTGTTAATATATTTGTACTTAAAATGTCTGTAAAACAGTGCTGCAGGCCGATGATCACACATTCTTACTTTTCTGGGCTTTCCTTTTGTTTTATGCTTATTAAACTCTACTTTATTGTTTAGTTACTTTGCAGGCTTACAATGACAATAATAAACTCTTGTTTTTGTATACTCTTTATTGCATAAATTCAACTAAACTTAGAACAAAATTAATAAAATAAACATAATTTACACTGGCTTTCATTTACATATTCACAATGTGGATATTATATCTCCTAATTTAGTGTAAACTGCTCATGTTATCTGGATCTCCTTCTGTTTTTTTATTGTTAATCAGAATTTACGTGAACAGTGATTACATGTTAGCAGTGTTTAATCTATATTAC